ATACGAATCCGATGATACTCTCTTCCCCTTTAATTGAAACCCTTGCTCTGTATTTGTGTTGATGGCGGATTTTGGAGCACCCTCATTCTCTTTAGGGTTTGATTTTGATTTTTCCGAACCCCAGCTTACCACTGCAAATGAGAGTAAAAATCCAACGGCGCCGAATCGGTTTTCCGTAGCTGCGACGGGACTCGAAGACGATGATGCTAATGATTTTGAAACCGTAACAGTCGTTGATTCGGACACAGACAATCAGAATTCACCTCCGAAACTGAAGCGCCTCCGGCGAGGGAGGACGGTGGAGGATACAGTATCATCGGCTTCGGTTAAGAGCAAGGCGGATTTGTTTTCTGCTGTGGCTGTCGATGACGATGACATTGAGGACTTCTCTTCGCCCGAGGATAACCATACAGGTTTAAGATCTTATTTAATTTGCTATTTACATAAGTTTAAATGCATTGATTTTCTGTTCTTCGCATCATATTTGCTTGAATCTGGTAGTCAAGTACATTTCTATAAACCCTAACGAAATCACATGTCTGGAATCGAATTTGAAATCCAACTAGACACAATCTTAGATCGTTTTACTTCATTATTATATTCAAATCTTGTGTTCGATTTCCGCAAAATACCTCAATGAGAAACTTCATTATGCTATCTATATTGCTAACTGCAGATGAACGTCATTCAACACAACACCATTCAGTCTATACAAGTTCAAAAATCCCACTCAATGGACATCGGATTTTAACAAAGCAACCAGGAAAGAGAAAACAGAACGTCTCAGATGATCCAGAGTCTGTAATCACAACCTGCAACAAGCCACCAAAGATAACCATCAGCCCTCTGAGAAAGTTCCAGTTGATAGATTCCGACTCTGATTCTGATTTTGATGATCATTTTATCAAAGAAGCTGCAAACAGGAAGACATTCAATGAATCAAACTCCTATTTGAATTCAGGTCAACCAAAAAAACCAACCGAATCAACCAGGAAAGATCTTTGGGAGGATTTCAGACCAGAGAAGAGCTTCCATATCTCAACACCTGTGTTAGACGAAGTCTGTGATGAATACTTCAACTCCATCAAAGATAAAAAAACACCTCAAAGCAATAAACCCCCAAAAAACCATGTCAAAAACAATATAATAGATCTTAGTGACCCTATCTCTCCTATCCCCCCTGCTCATAACTACTTTTTCCATGATGATATGAGGATCCAAGAGCTAGTTAGATCTCGTTTGCCCAATTTCTTTCCTTTGAATGCAACAAACAGAGATTGTGAACAACCTGGAACTTCAAACATTGATTACATGTAAGCTTGCCTCTAAGTTTTCTTTATATTATATAGCTAACATGTTTTTATATGATATTTTATGTTTCTTTTGTTTTCAGGGGTCAATTTAGTCGTGGTGAAAGCTCTAAACAAGCTTCTGGAACTAATAAAGCTGAAACAAGTTCTAGAAAAAAACCAAGAAAATCAAAACCTCAAGAAAGATCAATGAATCCAAATGTAAATGTCCCAAAAGATGCTGGCCAAAGAAGGGTTCAAGCAGATGGTAAAGCTACTGGCCATTGGTTCACAAATGGAGATGGGAAGAGAGTAAGTTATATTATTATTATTATTATTATTATTATTATTATTATTATTATTTTTTAATAAATTTGTTGTAAAGTTATAATAGTTGTTTAAAATGTTTTTGAATTGTGATAGGAAATAAGTTCTTACGTCTTTTTTTTTAGGTTTATGTGAGTAAAAATGGGGAAGAGCTGATTGGGAGAGCTGCTTACATTCTTTATTCAAAGGTATTAATATTGACAAACTTTATGTTAAAAATCTTATATTTTTTTGTGAATATTAGGTCAGTTAAATAATGTTATGAATTTGGTTGTTACAAATCAATATTTTATTTATAAAATTTTGTGGTTTTTTTTTACAGGAGAAAGGAGGATATAAAAAAAATGCAAAGCCCAAAAAGAAAAGTTTTGCCAAGAATAAATAGAGTGCTGATATTGGTATGTCATCATGTTGAATATAATAGATACTTTTAAGAACCTATTTTAGATTTTGCTATTCCGTAAACATCAAATTTATTTTCTTCTGTGGTTTTGCTATTTTGTTACTAATAATGCATTTTAATATTCTAAAGTTTGTAGTTTTGATTAATTATTTACCAATTCACACATTTTAATTCATGCTTCACTATTAAATGTTAATATAAGCATATAACCAAAAATGAATGAAAACCTTGAGACAATCGTACTTTATAACCATAAATAGAAACAATTTGTGGATTTTGGTGGAATCTGACAGAAATGGAATTGTAGATTTCATTTCGTGGGGTGTTTGGTTGTCAAATGGACATAAGGCAATCCCTTTCATTGAAATTTATTGCTTGATGAATTTCATGATCCTTAGGCTGGCCGCGGTTTATGCCATCTCAGCCGCGAACACCGCCTCCTCACTGCGGTCTCCTGTGGTTTTGGCCGCACCGCGGCCCTCTATAGCCGTGCAATGTGATTGGTTGGGAGGAATCAGGTCAAAATACTACCGTTTAGTTTTTTTTTTTCTTCCTTTTTACTTTCTTTCCTATAAAATACTACATACACTTCATTTTTTTTTAAACAAAAAACACTCTTCTCTCTATTTTATTTAAAAAAATTCACCAATCTCAAAAATGTGTTTTTTTTTTTTTTTTGGAATGCAATGTAATGTTTTTTGAATTTTCAATGTAATGGGTTTTTTAATTTTCAAGTAATGAAAAAATATGTTGTTTTATTAAAAAAAGTTTATTAAATTAAAATAGTTAAAAAAAAAATAAAATAAATAAAAGTGTGCCATCACTCCCTTGGTGTGGCAAGAAACCACACTTGTGTGGTAAAAACTGACGTGACGCACATGTGGCGGTGAAGGGAGTGCAGTTTCGGTGGCACCACTCCCTCCAGCCTTAGGATGAGTGAATTTCAAACAATAAATTTCAATATTTAGCATCAGTGAATGCATGTGAATTTGGCTCTCAAAAGACTTATATTCAATTCCATGAATATGAACCAACATTTAGGTTTTGTTTGTATTTTGTCAGCAGATTTTTTGGCCTCTTCTGTCTGCTTTGTGCCACACGCAGACATTAGTCTTCGCAGACTGTTTGTTTTTTTGAAGACTGCATATTTAAACATTTCTGTGTGCCCCCTTTTTGGCGTAAATGTCGATCAGAGTCTTTTAACATCTTTAGATATCTTCTTCTAGCCTAGAAAACACATATATTTTTATTTTTTTTAATTTATATTTATTCTAATTTTATTAATGATAAACAATTTGAGAAAGAAAAGTTACAATATTTAAAAAAAAGGGTTCAATGATACAAATATGATTTTTTTGACAAATTTATTAATAAAGATTTATTACAATAATGGTTGTAGAAGTTGTTTATATAAATATAAAAAAAACCATAATATATTTTTATATTTTTTGTGTAAAATTTTATAAAACATTTAATACAGTATCTTCAATTTCATGAGAAAATATTTATGGTACGTTTTTAATTGATTTAATTGAAAAAATTAAAGTTTATTTCTATCTATTTATGTATCAAATTCTTTGATTCATAATTACAATATTTAGGTATAATTTTACGACCAAAATTGTTGGTTTTTATCAAATATATATATTAATTGTACCATTTTTATTTTCACTTTTTATATAATAATACATAAAAGTAGGTCTAGATTATTAATTATTTATAACAAGGTCATAAAATATTAAAATATCACATTGAAGTTTAAAAAAATCATTTTATTTAAATTTTAGTAGCTTACAGATGTTAAAAAAATAATTTTTTTTTTTTCAGGCTGCAGACATTTGGTTCATCTCTTCTATAGAGATCTACAGATATGATATGCAGACTGCACACATTTTGCCTCAGAAAAAACAAACAACACCTTACATTGATCCTAATTCATAGTTATTCGTATAACATGATCGACTATAGATGTTTTAGAATATACTATAGCTAATCATGGATTAAACTAGAACACAATGGTATTGATGAAAACAATCATACAGGATATTAATATCAGTTCATAGTAAAATAAAATTGGTTAATGCTCCATATCCAAATGCTAAATAAAAAAAGCTACTACCATAACAAAGTCCAATGCTAATGATCATCATGTTTAGCATAAAACATGTTCTTTGTAAACAAATATGCCTCGTTCTGATCCGTATTAAGTCTAATAAAAATCCTTTTATTCGTTTCAAACTATGAAAACCATTATCTCCATCTTTTGCAACACTTCGCTTGAATTTCCATCACATTCAGAATTTCAGATGGGCCTTCTTCTGCTTCAAACCTTTCCTCTTCGGATTCTGAAACTCAAAAACAACATTCTTGAAGAGTGGATAGAAATAATCGTTCCAAAACCTACCAATCACATGCTTCAAATTGCGCGATTCCTAACACCAACACTTTCGGCCATTAATTCCTAAAAACCTCGAAAAGGTGAAATTAATTAAACTCTTCTTTTATTACATTACAAAATACAAACCCTTTTTGTTTGTTTTTTCAAATATATTTTGGACTTTCGAATCTTGAAGTTGATTCCGAATTTTGGTCTGGTAACTTTCATGTTTGTAGTTGTTTATGTATATTATATTATGTGTAATAAAAACAAATATGTGATTATATATGACAATCTTTATTTACCTATATGCCATTTTCGAATTATTCTCTATATCTATAGCCACAAATAAGAACAGCAACCAATTTTGACCACGTTTAGCGTGGTCAAACTTTATCACATAGACTTCAAGAATACAAAAGAAAATCGAACATAACTTTGTACATCGATCACCAACCATTAGATAATTACTTATACCAGACATCAAAATCAATCAAGTCCAAAAAGTCAAAAAACTACAAAATCAAACTTGAATTTTATATATTTCTTTCATGTAAACAACTCCACTTCTTCCATTCTTTCAGTTACAGATCCTTTCAACTCCATGGCAGATGGAGTTCAAGAACTGGAACTTCAACCCGGAGGTACGAATGGCGTCATTAATGGAGTCCCCACCCAAAAATTCAAGCACTACAGATGGTGGTTCCGGGTGGCGGTGTATATCATCTTTCTAATCTCCGGTCAGGCCACCGCCACCCTCTTGGGCAGACTTTACTACGACAAAGGCGGCAACAGTAAATGGATATCCACCTTCGTCCAATCCGCCGGATTCCCAATCTTGATTCCCCTCCTACTCTTCTTCCAACCAACCACCACTACCTCCGCCGCATCACCGCCACCCACCACCACCACCCTTCTACTTCTTTACCTATTTTTCGGCTTAATCTTAACAGGTGACAACTTAATGTATTCATATGGTCTTCAATACCTTCCTGTTTCCACTTACTCTTTACTCTGTGCAACACAATTAGGATTCAACGCTGTTTTTTCATTTCTTTTCAACTCACAAAAGTTCACTTCTTTAATCATCAACTCACTTTTTCTCCTCACAATCTCCGCCACCCTCCTCGCTGTTCATTCGGATTCAGATAACCCATCAAAAATCTCAAAAGCAAAATACATAATCGGGTTTTTATGCACTCTAGGAGCATCCGCCACATACTCTTTATACCTCTCCTTTTTACAACTATCATTTCAAAAGGTAATCAAGAGTGAAAACTTTAGGGTTGTGCTAGAATTACAAATATACCCTTCCTTTGTTGCTACGTGTGGTTGTGTGGTGGGGCTTTTTGCCAGTGGTGAATGGGACATGTTAAAGCAAGAGGCGAGTGATTATGAAAAGGGTTCGGTGTCTTACATAATGACGCTGACGTGGATAGCTATTGCATGGCAGATTTGTTCTATAGGGATTTTGGGATTAATATTTGAAGTTTCATCTTTGTTTTCGAATGTGATTAGTACGTTAGGGTTACCGGTTGTTCCGGTTCTTGCAGTTGTGTTTTTTGGAGATAAGATGGATGGAGTGAAAGCGATCTCATTGATTCTTGCGATATGGGGGTCGGGGTCGTATGTTTATCAACATTATCTTGATGATTTGAAATTGAAGAATGATATGAAAACGAGGATACTTGTAAGTGCCAATGAGGCTTCCCATAATGTTTAAAAAGGGTTATAGGATATGTGGAGGAATTAATTTTATATGTAAAATGGTTTATTTTGTGGATCGAATGAATTGTAATATGAGTAATTGATGATTTTATCATTTTGTCTAATGTTGAATAGAAAATGACCATTTAAGGCTCTGTGTCATATATATGTATGATGTACCATCATTGGCCCGATGGCTTGAAAGCTTAAGGATTGATGAATAATATGATAGTTTTGATATTAAACTAGCTGTGAAACCCCACTCCGCGGGGTTCAGTTAAGACCAGAGTTTTACACTTTTTGTTATCGGTTATGTATGTGGTGTAGTGATAGATAGTGAACAGTATGATGGGGCATTTTCGACAAAAAAATGTTAAAATCACGATTTTTTTACGAAAAGAACAGTATGTAGTGACATTTTGGTCAAAACTGTTAAAATTATTAGTTTTTTTATCAAAAAAACAATATGTATGGGCATTTTGGGCAAAAACTTTAACAAAATAAAACTACTTATGTTCCCCAGATCGAACACTTCCAAGATCACCTTCTAAAAAATTACGCTTTTGGTGCCCGGATCCTTTCGTGGGCACGCACATTTAATTTTATTACAACCAATTAAGACGTGCCTTTTGAAAAAGCTAAAAGCGGATCACCGATACCTGCTCAAAAAATACAAATAAGAAAAGCTAGTCTGAAAGACATAACTTTATGATCCTTGACAGTTAGTAGAACTAATCTGCATGAAATCCTACTGAAATTAGAAGTAAATTAGATTATTTGTGTATTTGGAGATTTTAGTAGAATGTTATGTTAAAAAAATTATGCTATATTCGGCTAGATTAATTATAATATATTGCTATAGCAATGTTGTTTAAATAAAATCAAAGTACAATGCTATATTGTGCTAGATTAAAAAAAAATTATGATACAATGGTATGTAAACGTGGTATTTAGAAAAATGAAAGCAAAACCTTAGCATGAATGCTATAAAAAAATGGGATATAGCAAAAATTGACTGAAATATAACATTAAATTTCAATAATTGAAAGTAGCAAACAACATTAAATTTAAAAAATTGACTGGGATATAACAAAAAAATGGATTGATTATAAAATTATGCAGCCAAACCTCCAATCTATAGGTTTCTTCGTGAACATGGTGACCTGTGACATAGAAAAAGGAAGAGCATATTTAACCAAAGTTTATGTTAACTTCATTCGCAATAATGACCGGTGTGTATTTGTTATCAAGAATCCAAGATTAACCACTTACTAGAGTAGTGATAACGCTATGTGTAGCATAAACTGAAGAAAACAAAACTCAAATCTTGAAATTTTTATAATGATCAAGTACCTGTTTTTCTTCTTGTGAAGAATTGTTATCGTCCTTCAATTCTCTTAGGTTATTAGGAGTGCCTTTTGGACATTCTTACTTCCTACCAAAAATTAAACTTCTCATGAAATATATATCGCATTCACCAAATTTGTCATAAAATTTCAACACAGAATAGCTTTACTTTCAGGTTTCACAAACCCCGAATTCATACATTTAACTGTCCCTACAGGAACCCATTACGAAACCCTCGTCTCTTGACAACATTGGTGGGATTAATAAGACGAATATACTGAATTTCAGTTTTGTAAAAGGTAAAATCATGAAAATAATTTAGGGTAAAATGGAACCTGTATGGCGATAACATCAGGATCCATGGAGTTGTTGAAGTTGGTGAACTCAGGCCAGTTGTTTTTAACGCAAAGTCAAGAATTTGTGGGTTGTTTCTTTTGGGTTTCTTCAACTGGTGTTGCTGTTGCGTATGGGTGATTTCCATTCTTCTTCGTCACACCAACCGCAAAAATAACCTGTCACAAAAATAAAAACCCAGTGAAAAGTTGGGTTTCATGGTGCCGAGGACCAGATATAGAAAATCGACAAATGGTAGTAAGGGGTTCGAACTTTCGATCCTACTTTTCTTCCTGCAGTTATGTCGCATCTTTTCTGAAATACCTTCCGTTCAAATAGAAACAGTGAATCATGAAAAACCAAAACTGTTAAATGTTTCAATTTTTTGACAAAAGCATAATAGAACCATGAAATTGGGACCAAAATTGAAAAGAAAATACATTATTTGAAAGAAAGTAAAAAAAAAAAAAACGCAAACTACAAGGACCAGAGATTTATAAAACTGAAAAATGCATAATACTTTTCCATCCATATCCTGAAGAGCAGAGTTAGCTGCATCAGCTGATGTATAACTAACAAATCCAAACCCTCGAGATCTACCAAAATCACAATCAGTGATAACTCTAACTGCAAAAATCAAAACCCTAATGATATCAGTAAAATCAATTTATAGTTTTATAGCATTCAAATTCTGATCTTGATAGATGTTAGAATTTATACCATCTATCACTTCTCCATATTACTGAAAAGCTTCTTTTAATCGCATTTAATCACTGCATAGGATATTATCCAAATCTGTTATTCTGGATACTGATTTGGGAAACATGTATAGATGAGATGAAAAAGAACATGATGTTAAACCTCCTACGAAGGGTTTAGCAGATGACATGCTTCTGATTGACTGGAAAAGTGGTGAATTTGAAGAAGATAATCCCATATTGACATGATTGCTTCCTGATTGTTTAAGCGGATTGCCGAATCTACTAAGAAAAGCCATTTTCAGAGGGACCTGATAACAATGGAGGAATATGAACTCAATATCAAAATGGTACAATAAAATTAATGAATAAATAGATAACGATTTTAAGCCTCTACATCTTCCTTGAAGAACAGGATCATAGAACAGAAGCAATAAATACAAAGTACGACTGAAACCCTATAACTTCTGCAACTAAATCACATCACGGATGCTCTTTTATTAAACCCTAGATTCCTAAATTCATGCAACAACACATCGGGTGACAGATTTGATTCGCTAATCATATATAGGTGTTTGGTATTACCGCCAAATAACATGAAAGGGTATGTAAGTCTTCAAAAAAGCTTGATGCTGCCTCCAACCAATCCAACCCTTCGAAAGGAAACCTCAGAAGACAAAAGATCGAGGAAGTGTAAATGAATGGCAGTCTGGAGTAAGCGATGAAGGAAATCGAGGATAGAAAGAGTTCCAAAAAGTTCAGCTAAAAGCTAAGGTGTAGATACACAAACCTGGGGCCGATTCCACCATTTCTAGTGTAGATACAAAAACCTGGGCCGATTCCACCATTTTCTGCTATTGAATAGTTGAAAATAGTCGTCCATTTCGCTATTAAGGTCTGTGAGATCGTATTCAACCATGCCATGATATTATTCAACTATCGGATCAAAATCAGAGTGTAATCGACATGGGTCTCGTACCTGAAGTGAAAACACACGATTGGTAACCCATTTGAATTTCCCTCAAGTCATGAACTTTGATTCCACAAACCCACAGCCCAAAATTGAAGAGAAATAAAAGAAACTCCGAAATATAGATTAAAGAATCTTGATGAATATAATGGAATTTGATTAAAGAAAAATCACTAAGGAATTCAAAGTAAGTTATTGATACAGCTGATTGGAAGAGAGATACCAAGTGTGAACAGGTCGATGAATGGGATATGTTTACCTGAAAGCCAAAACCAGATATCAAAGGCAAACCACAATATCGTCGGCTGGAAAATTTCACTGTAGACAAACCCCTTTTATGTATAATTTGAACGGGGCGAACGATTCGTAGTAGTGATGCGGTAAAGGTTTTGAATGACAGTGTGTGATGATGGTGCAAGGCTGATGAAAACCTTGGTGTGTGGTTGTGGCTGATGGCGATGATGGAGTCCGAAAGGAAAATTCGATCCCGGTGTCTGGAAGCCGACATCGATACGGTGGGAAAGCATCTATAGTCAAAGTTAGGAATCGACTACGCATCTGAAATAGAAGATACAGGAGAAAGATGAACATGCAATTGAAGAACATAGTAGTAGACGGAGCAATATCGATCGGTGGGTGGTTTTAGGGCTTCTAGAGGATTCTGATGGGAGAACAAAAGGTCGGATAAGAACGAAGAAACTGGAATGACCGATTAACCTACGGGTGTGGGATAAAATGACTGGGAAACCGGAACTGTTCGCAACACGTCTACACAAAGAATATAGATATTGACATAAACTGACCCTAGAGAAAACCTATCCAACACTAAAACAACAAACAACGACAACAATAATACAAGGATCATTTCTGTCAAAAACTCGCCAGTTCACTATTCATGTTGCTGCACAACTTTAATATATAGATAATAATTATATAAGTATCACATGAATCTTTTGAGGTAGATGCATGGTTATTTCTTATTAACGGCTGTCTAGGTTTTCAATCCAAAACAAAATATGAGTTTTCTTGTGTATCGTTTGAAAGCATTATCTCTGCGACAGCTACATCTAATATCTCAATTGGTATTTTTTCCTCCTATTTTATTGCATTTTATATTTAATTTTTTAATTTTACATAATTTTGACATATTGTATTATCATTTTGTAGATGTTATAGGTGAAGTTGTTTCGTTAGACAAGCTTGATTCCCGTGATGTTAGCAGATCAAAACATAAGCTAACTTTACAAATCAGAAACTTAGAGTAACTATAACTTTTCTTATATTATTATTATTATTATTATTATTCTTATAATAATATGTTATATTCATTAGGTTACAACTAGTCTATGTTATTTTATTATTATATAAACATTTAACCATTACTATTTTTGCAGAGGTTTGCAGGTTAACGTCACATTGTTTGCAGATTTTGCATACCAAATGATTTCTTATCTTGAAGCTCATAAACAAGTTGGTCGTGTTGTTATTATTTTGCAGTTTGCAAGACTTAATGTCTATAACGGTACATTTCTTATAAAAGGCAACCTTCCTTATTTTAGGCTTTTTTTATTACTCATTATTTTGACTAATTTATTTTCTTTCAACAGGAATACCTTCTGTTAACAGTTATTTTGATCACACATGTATGTTCATAAATGTTGATCTTCCCGATATTGTGGCCTTCACAAATAGGTAACAAACTATTTTAATTATTCATTGTTATTTTGTTTCTTTTTAATAATTTTACTAATTTCATAATTATTTTCCTAAATAAAAAAACAGCTTGGTTGGATTACGAGGAATTCAAAACCCTTCTTCTTCTTTGACTGTTGATAGCTCTCAATCATACAATGAATATGAAGACTTTTTGAATAATCACAAAGTTAAAAATGTTGTCGATTTGCTAGAACCACAAGAGGTATGTGAATAATTTGGTTTCTTTAATGTGATTTTGTTTTATATTATTCATTTATTGTAATTGCATTGTTTTTTGATGAATCTTTTTGTATTTTATATTTTTTTAGGTCGGGAAATTTATCATTGTTGGTACCATTTATGGTATACGACAAGATATTGATTGGTATTATGATGCGTGTTCAAACTATAGAAAGAAAGTTGATCCAAGAGATGTTTTTAGCGGTCCAGATAGTGGTGATGCAAGTGTGGTTGTTGAATGCATTAAGGAAATTTCTTCAGCTCCAAGGTTTTTTACATTTAACAAAACCTCACCGGACAAATTAAATACATTATTAATCATTAATAATTAAACTTAAACATATTTAATATAAATTTATGTGGGATATTTTTGTAGGTATAAAATACATATTCGTGTCCAAGATGATTCTGGCACAGTCACACTAACTTGTTTGATAGAGATGCTTATAAACTTGTCAAAAAACGTGCAAGTGATCTCATAGAGAAAATCAAACGGGTATAATTTAAGTATAATATTTGTTTTATTAGATTATATTATTTGTTTCATTTTTTTTATATTAATGTGCTTTTAACCATAACAATATTACATAACACATTTTTTCCAGGCTGGGGATAATCCGAGAATGTATCCTTATGACCTCAAATGTCTGGTGCATAAAAAGATGGCATTCAAGTTAGATGTTAATAGTTTCAACGTATCCAATAACTACAATCGGTTTGGGATACTTGGCTATACGCTTGATAGTAACGTTATCAATGCTTTGGAAAAAAAAAGTTAGTTGTTGAGGTATTTATATATATAGTTTTTTGGAAATTATGATGCACACGTTTATTTAATGATTTTTACTAATTAATTGTAAATCTTGATGGAATAAAAACTTAATCCCACAAATGATAAAATACATATTTATTTTTCTAAAGCAGGCAGGTAATTCTGGAAATCCTGATGATACAGAAATCGCATCTCACGAAGCATCTCACGAAACAAAGTCGTTGAAGGTTAGCCTATAAAACTACATTATTTATTTTTATATAATTTTCTTTTATGAAATATTTTTTGTTATTATTTTCATACTAAATCTATTTCCTGATTTTGCTTTAAGGACGCGATCTCACAGACCGGTGATAATTTGACGCCTTCCATGCCTGACAAATCAGAAGCTACAAGTCCCTTCAAGTTTAATTCGCCCCCAATGGTAAAAAAACGAAACGTTGGAGATACCATTGATGTTGATGAGTATGATAATGTGAATTCGTCTACAAAAGTACCTCGCTTGAATTCCAAGGTCGATGGCAACACAGGTCTTTTAATACCAAAACTTGAAAAGTGATTTCAGAGTGTCCTTTTTGAATCAACAATATTCTTGATTTTTTTTTTTTTTTGGGATTCTGTTTTGGTAGTTTTGCTCTTCGTGGTGTTCACTATTCAAACATTGATAGTTCTTGGTTTCTTTTCGCTTCTAATCTCTATCTTAAGTAAAAACTCTTTTTTGGGTTATGACTGTAATTAGACTAATCTTCTTTTAATATATTCTTCTTTTAATATATGTGTGTCATATGTGTGTCTATTGATGAAAGTATGAATACTGAACAATTATGTTTATAAAGATTTTAATTAGCTCTATATATCAAAAAAAAATTCGACAAAATTAGCAAATATAGCATTGTACTTTTCTTTTTCGTGTTATGAGTATATTAGCTCTATGAAAAAACATGTATCAAATATGAATAAATTAAAAAAAAATGGTATATTAAATGCACGTGAAATCGGTGCATGCATTCTTGGGAATATGTTTTTCAATAATTTTATGTAATGTATGAAATGAACATTGTAATGAAGTTGTGACATGAGATATGTCTGTGTATTGAATGTGTAACAGTAGGAAACAATGCATCAGATGTCAAATTTGGCCTTTGTCAATCCTTTTGTTCAGCTTTACAATTTCCAGTCTTTACATTCCAATAAAATTGTTTATTGATTGTATCCTCTGGTAGAACTGAATAACATGTCAATTTTTATTTTAGATTGCTTGTGTTTCTCTTTAACATCTATTCAAATCTGTATATTTTTTTACAAATATATATTAATATTAATTTTAAATAATAAATATAAAAATGTGAAACAAAAATAATTCTTATTAATAATATAATTTTTTTACAAATTTTTTACCCGTGGATTCCACGGGTTGTAACCTAGTAGTGAAATATACCATCCTTTGTTAAAGTAGAATAACAAAAAATTAAGATTGCGTTTAATTACGGAAAAATAATTTTTATTTTCCGTTTTTCGTTTTCCCCTTTTAGTTTTGGGTTAATGTCATAAAAACCCTCAAGTTTTCAGGGTTTTGTCGGTTTTGCCCAAAGTTGAATTTTATGTCTGTTTTTACCCTAACATTTTCGAAAAAATGTTCGATTTTACCCCTTTACCGGTGATAACAGGTTTTCCAGGTTAACATTATATTAAATTCGCAAAAAACCCTCAGGTTTACCGTTTTTTGCATTTTTACCCTTAAGTTTATAATTTTTTTACACTTTTACCCTAAGTAATTTTTTTCATAATATACGTATTCATGCAGAAAAATCGTATTTATATACGAAAAAATATTTAATAAATATTGTATTTATATTTTTTTTAATGTTATATATATATATATATATATATATATATATATATATTTGTTTTTGCAAGGTTATACCCTTTAAAAATATAAATAATATTTTTAGAATTATAAATACATGTTTTATCGATATAGTTTTTAGAAGTATAAATACATATTTTTACATTTTTATATATTAATATGTATCTATACTTCTAAAAATATATTTATACTTTAAAAAAAACATATATCAAAATACATATTTACACTTCTAAAAATATATGTATATAGAATTGAGTTTTCATTTTTAGTTTGCAATAAAAATTTTAGAAAACGCGTTTGGTTGAAGCGATGGAGTTTTCATTTTCCACCTTAGAAATTTAGAAAACTTTGAAAAACTGTAAAACTTGCTTTTCTAACTTACATACAATTTGGAAAACTGAAAATTTTCATTTTCTTAAAAAACTTTGGAAAACTGAACGAACCAAACGCATTTTCAAAATTTCCATTTTTCTTGGAAATTTTTTCTAGAAAACTGGAAAATTTTTCACAACCAAACGCACCATAAGGGTGCGTTTGGTTGTGGAAAACTGTTTTCATTTTCTAAGAAAATGTTTTCAGAAAATAGAGTTGAGTTTTCGCTTTTAGTTTTCAATAAATTTTTTAGAAAAAGCGTTTGGTTGAAACTGAAGGAGTTTTCATTTTCCATCTTAGAAATTTCGAAAACTTTGGAAAACTGTAAAAATCACTTTTCTAATTTACATACAATTTGGAAAACTAAAAATTTTCATTTTCTTGGAAAATTTTGAAAAACTGAACGAACCAAACGCGTTTTCAAATTTTCCATTTTTCTTGGAAAATTTTCCTAGAAAACTGGAAAATTTTCCACAACCAAACGCACCCTAAGGGTCTCGTTTTCAGTTTCCTAAATTGCCACAAGGTCCAAAAGAAAGTAAGGATACACACATCTAGACAAAACTTGGTGTAAAGAAGTCACATAAAATTGCCAAAGTATGATAATCAATT